CTGAATAACTGTAAATAAAATTCACAGTACAGAAAAACAAAAAAGGTATTTGTATTTAAGCAAAACATAATCAAGACAAGCCGGTACCGACCGGTATACCGGCCGGTACCGGTATGAAATTTGTATATCGGTGGCCGGTACCGGTATCGCAATTTTGATACCGGTTACACCCCTGGTGTAGAAGTATGGTTTTCAGACATTTTAACAGATAAAGAAAGATAGCTACAAACAATTGTCGAAAAATTGTAATACATATAATAGAATCTACTCTAACAAAAGAAGCAAACGAGTTCTTAACTGCAGGACCGCTTAAGCGACAATATTATCTAGAGTAGTCTAGGAAAATCCTGGCAATTCCTGTCATTTTCCGAGGTTACATCTTTAGCTAACGGTCAATCCTGATTCAATTGCCCGCCTTTGCAAGCATTTTTTTCTCAGGTTAAGCTTAATCAGAAAAAAATTTCATTTTGCTGCCAGAAGATAGAGAATTTTGCGTAGATTTTAATCATCCATTCCTTTTGAAATAAATATTTGTCGTTGGTAATAAAATGATACCAGACATAATATTTTTTGATTCAAATCAATATAATTGAAAAAAGCTAAAATAAATACTGAAAATCTTACTGGACATTAAAAGCTAGGTGTGCTGCCTTTAAAATCGAAAACGTTTGATGAGAAAATCATGCGCTTATATAGTCTAGATGTGTTGGAAGAAGAGCAGAAGTGCTATAAAATGATGAAAAGGAAGTTGATAAGTTCTTGTAAAACGATGTTCTTTAACGACAGAGGATAATTTAGAACTCTAATATTTCTGTTCAAAAAACAAAGGAGAATTTTCGTATAGTTATGAACATTTTTATATTGCTAATTTAAAATTTTGCCACTGTATGTGCAATTGTCTTGTTTATTGTTCTAGTTGTTGCGGCATGAATAATATTATTGTTAAATAATAATGATAATAAATTTTGTTTTATATCTGGTAGACAAATAATAGAAACAAATGGTAATAAAAGTGCTGAAACATATGCTAAATAAGCAACATATGTTGAGACTAGGTGTGTTAAAAATAACGTATTTTCAAATATTTGTATAAGTGAAACAGTCATATATGGAAACCAGCCACATATATACAAGAATGATATTGATAATAATTGTATACTCAATTTTATTGTTCGTCGCCATTGATTCGTTCGTTGCATACGATATTTTTGTTTAATAACTTGTACTATTAATGTGACATTTGTTACAGCAATAATGATAATAGGTGTAAATACATTTATTAACCAATCAGTAATGCCTAACTGTGCTTCATATAGATAACATGGCCCAGCACAAGTATATTTTGTACAATCAAAATCATTTTCACATTGATAAATTAATATTAGACCACTATAAAATAATGGCGTATAGATAATGAGCATTATAATCGGTAAATAATGTAGTAATATTAAATGTTTTTTAATAAAGTGTGCATTAAATATGAATAGATAACGCTCAATTGATGTCCATGCCGTTAATGAGAGTGACAAAGCAAATAGTGTATAATTAATTGTAATCCAAAATAAACATATTTTAGATGATTGAATAAAACCAAAATTCAAAAAAGTTTCTGTTATTGTCAATTCAATTGTTTCAATTAGAAAATTAATGAATAATAATAAGACTAATATCTGATTTTGTATACGATGACGATATTCCCGATTATTCTTTAGAAAATGATAAAATATAAGTAATGTACACAAAACTGATGGTATTTGAAATATTAGTAATAAACAAAGTTTAATATGACGTAGTAATGGTGCTTCATATAAAGTGACTGTTATTGTTGTGTTATTTGAATAAGACATTTTGAAATGGTACGCAATATAGTTGCAAGAGAGAGGAAGATATATAAAATTGAATATTCCAGAGATAGACAATGTAGACACGGGCTGCTCAGGTAGAGCACGGTTAAATGACAGTTATGACATTCACCGTAACAAATATATATATATATAAGACATTTCTCTGTTCACATATCTTCTTCCTTCTTACAGATAAACGCCTTTTAATTGATTGAATTTGAAAACAAAGAGATCTCAGATCGTTCTGTTTTATCAATCATGGCAGAAAACGATCCTAAATGTCTTAGACTATGATAGAAACACGATTTGACCTTATTTGGTAGGCGTCACACTCAAACAAAAGAAACTGAACGGGAATGTCAGTCTGAAACAGTAGAGTAATAGGTTCGTAAACTTTATAAACCATCAATTAGAAAGAATAGAGATAAAAAGTAGATTGAGCTTTTTTAAAAAAGACCAGATAATGGAATAACGAAAAATGCACGCTCGAATCGCTAAAAATGGAATAGAATTTGATCTCGTACTGTTTCACACGGTTAGAACTGAAAGCAATTATTAAGACACATGCTGGCAGAAATTATGAAATAACACGATTCAAACAAATAATTAAATGGACAAAACAATAGCTGATGTTTTAAATGGAGTATATTTCCTGCTAAACTTCACTCCTATTATCGCCTATGCAATATTATCTTTCGATTTATCTTATCTGACTTTAAACATATTGCTTGTGTAGACAACTCTATGTTGTGTTGTACTTGTTCATGCTGATGCTTCCGGAGAAAATTACGAGGCTGATTATTCCAAAATCAGACATGATTTCTAAATTAAACTCTTGTTAACATTCGGTTTTCGTGTCAAAAAACTGTTATTTCATATCTGCTGGTTTTGATGATATTTCTCAGATTCAGCTTTCTTATCATCAGAAAGTGAGTCAGCATTGTTTCTACAAATAGATAGATCGCAATGTGGATCCTTTTATTCATCGAAAAGAATTAAAAAATAAATATTTTCGGTTTCCTGTTAAACGTCCATCCGTGTGTCCACGAGAAAGGATTTAGCGAAACATTCAAATATGTTTCAATGGACGATTCAACGCAAAAGTAACACGTTCTTCTTCTGAATGCTCTTCTTACTTCACTTTTGACATTAGTGGCAAAATAATAATCATTGACTGTTTTAAAAAAGCTTATAACATCGAAAGGTATGAAACGAAAAAATAGGCTGAAATCTAAAACGATAAAAGGATCAGAAAAACCAAAAGTAACAAGATTTAGCCGGAGTAGTTCACTAAAAGGACAGGCGAGTTGGAAAAATCGGTTAAACGCTTTGAATAATTTTTCTCTTTTGTATAAAGTTCAACACCAACAAACAGTAATCAAGTATCGTCGAATGGATCAGAGTACTTAAAGATCCTCTACCCTACTCCGTCCTTTTTTCACCTTGTTGCAAACTGCAGAGCACACGTTCGATTAAGCTCAAACTTTTACCAGAGATAAAACAGCCAAAAAGAAAATGTATGTGGTTTTTCTCAGAATTCTGTGACATGATCTTCTGTAAGTTTTCTGGGCACCTGGATTTCCACTTAGCCGCATTACGATCCCGCCGCTTCAGTTTCGAACAATTTTTTAACAACAATTACGGCAATCATAATACCCAACAAGAGTACTCCAAGGAGAAAGGAAAGCAAACAGCACAATTGATATGGTGAATTATTCTCCACGTTCAAATGAGCATTAAAGTTCTAAATAAATTTTCTTTTGTTTCCTATCCCTTACTTGTTTGTCTGATTGTCGTTTATCTGCATTTCTTTCAATATCGCCCAAATAAATATCGCTTTTACTGACTGAAGGCAATATCTAAGAAAATGAATGGCAGTAAAAAAGAGAGAATGACTTGACATGTACAATAAGTAAAACTGCTGTCTAAAGTTAGTTCATTTTTCATAAGACGGATAAAAAGCGTAGTTAAAAAGCGCTGGTATCGTTACGTGTGTGACATGATCTTCTATGGGTGTTTCATCCATCTTTCATTCTTCTCTCTAATAGAACAAACTGTACAAATCGGATAGATGAGTGATAAACAATCTATTGATCTTAATCATTCTTATAAAAAATGGTGAAGTTTTGTTAAACATGCGATAGGCAAACACAGTCAAGCTTCTACTTCCTCATTGTTAATGAAGAGATTTGAATAGATTTCACTAGGTAGTTCGGCTAAAAATGCATTCAAACGGGTGAATAACAATAATGCTTTTCAATAGATTTATCGTAAAAATGCATGTGAAGAGATTTAGAATATGAAAGACATTTAAATACATTTCTAAAATAAAGTGTTCTAAATATGTTAGAAAACCAAATAAAAAAGTGGCATATTTCAACATGAATTTCAGTGATTCGAATCCTTTCATAAAAGGCAGATTCTTAAAGTATACAGCTTGCGCACTTCAACGAATATAAAAAGTGGAAATGAGTCATTCTCATTGCGGCAATTTTTAATGAAATGTGCCACTTTTTTATTTGGTTTAATCGAAGTCTTCAGAGCACTCATAGAAGATCATGTCACACACGTAACGATACCAGCGCTTTTTAACTACGCTTTTTATCCGTCTTATGCAAAGGTAGCGCTGTGACATTTTTAACGCAGTAGTTTGAATTTTTCTCGAAAATTACAAGAGCTAGAAAGTTCGTTTTTCGCCATTCGACGCGACTCTTCTTACTCTACTTTGAGTATAAAAACGAAGATTTTAGGTTAAAGATTCGAGCTTGTAGAAAGGCTTTTTAGACCGGTAACGCTGTGATAGAATTGATCCCTATTTTCTGAAAACTTTTGATACAGCTCTGATTTCCTGCGAGTTGAACTGTGCAGGTAAAAAGCTTCTGGAGGCAAGTTTGTAGAGGAGCTAACCAGGTTTCTTTTGGTAAAAAGAACTTTGTCCGAAACCTTTCCGTACGCCTAGAAAAGCCGGTTTTGTAAAGTACCGGTGTCACACACCTTTTTGTCGCACCATTTTTAGGCACTAAACGTTGTTCAGAAAACTACATACTGATAGTTTATGTAGTTCTAGGTTTTCTGAAAAGACTCTGGTTGAAAATAAAGTTCGAAAAATTCTTTGAGGCTTTCAAACCAAGGCGGAAGTTGAAACGTTCTAGCAGCCATTGTGTCTCGACTGAAAGATAGCTCTCAAAACAAAATCAGCCATTTTGTGGAGAATTGAATTCTCTAACAAAATTCGTCACTAGTAATTAATCCTTTCTGAAAAATTGGCTAAAAGACAACACAACTAAACTAAACTTTTATTTGAGATATGCATCCAGTGGAAATGCTGTCCGTATATGGCTCCAAAGATGACGAATGGCTGTTATCAATAAACAGTTCTGAAGTTTTTTTCGCTGAAAAGTCAAAATGCACATGTTGAACTGCTCACTTAACTTGTAAATATTCTAAAACTCGTAATAAGTGTAGCAAGTCGAGACTTTACCGCCACAGACCGCATGTATTGCTGTTATTAGATGATAGCACCAAAGGGTGTTCTTGTTTTTTTGTATGCAGCATATAAGTATTAGACTAGAAAAAAATTCAAAAAATAAGAAGAAAATTATTTTTGTTTATGATTCCAGTCGTGGTTATTGTATTTCTCAAATATGAAAAGTGATCCTGGTTTACCATTAGTCATCTCGTCACTGATTCATGATGTAGTATTTAATCTACTATCAATTCATCACTCACACTACTTTCTTGACATTTTTTGTACTTTGCAGCTGATTACTTTTCATTTTCAGGGTCTGTAGTGACTATAAAAACAATAGGACACATGTACACAGAACAAACCATAAAATGGTTATACATTACGTACTACTGCATCTTTATCTGTCCGTGTAATATTTTTCACAAAATAAAAAGGAAAGAAAAGTCCGGAAAAAACAAAAAGAGGATCAGTACACAAAAAAAATCAATTTTTGTCTATGTGCTGACAATATTTTGAGTTTAGTATTTGTATAATTATTTGGGTACCTACTTTCTATCTATCTGTTGTTAACGGTCTGCATATGTATTTGATTGTATGTATACAAAGTTATAGTTATTTCTAAAATTACTCTGCTTCTTTTTCAGAGGCTAGTGCTATTTTAGAGTAACTTAATCTTAGATTTGACACAGTTTTCAAGGTACAAACATAGAATGCTTGAAAGAAAGTTTTTTTCATCAGTTAGAGTTAATATTGATTCACAACATTATCAAGTAATCCAGTGATAGAAAATTCTCAAGCAGTATTTCGATCAATACTAGTTGATAAAAATGAATTCAAAATTATTAATCCATTTATATTTATAAATTTTCAAATTCTATTTTAATCATACATTATCCACGATAAACTGTGACAATTGGTCGATTTAATTTTTGAATATAAAGGGTGGCCCATAAGTCCTGACTCGATTTGTATAATAATTTTTCTAAAGTAAAACACATGTGTATAAATTTCTCTCTATGACGAAAAGACGCAGTAAAACACGCTCTACAAAATGGCTTTTGATTGACGCTCATATAGTAAGAAAGTTATAGACTTAGAAATGCGCTTCACAAAAAAGAAAATTTAACCATGAACTCTCTTCGTATGGTGGTGCTTTCAGTGAAAGTCTCGTAACTCCATCAAAACAAAAGATTTTTAGATCGGATTTATTCTGTTTTGATCAGAAATAATTGCTCTTCTCTACCTAAGTGCAAAATCAAACTTCGATCACGTTTTCTATTTCGTGGTTGGGCACGTTGTCAGAAACAGAGATTTTCAATTTTTAAAACTTCATTCTCGAGTACACCATCTACTCTGAGAGAAATTTTTTACAGACCACGAGAAAGAGTGCATTCGAAAGTAGCAAACGTAAACTGGATTCTCACTTTTGCTAAGCTTTTTTACGGAAATAATAGGAGAAGAAAAAGTTCGAGTCGAAAAAAATGCTGAAGTTACAAAGTTTTCACTTTTCCGCCTCGCGTATAATTTGCTTAGT